AAAAAATTGAAGTTAAAAATATTTTTTTAAAACAAGCTTTAGTTTTTTATTTTTTTTTGGGGGGTGGGGTGGGGTTGGGAGGGCTATTTGAAGTTGGAAGAGAGTTTTGAAAAATGTTTTCCTTAAGTTTTGAAGGGAAGTCATTTTCCTTAAATTTGAGGAAAATGAGTTGATTTGAAAAATATTTTCCAAAACATTTAACTCAACCAAACATGGGAAAATTGGAAAACATTTTTCGGAAAATATTTTCCTTCATACCAAACACACCCTTAGAGGGTGTTAGGATTGACTTAAAAGTTGGTCAAACCTACTTTTAAGTTAGTTTTTGACTTCTGGAAGTGTTTGACAAATATAAAAAAGGGAAAATTGTATGAAATAACAAACTATTAATTCAAATTAAATGTTATAGCCATAGTTTATTTTAATTGTAATTCGCAGCAAACATCCCATTTTTTGGTCATCTGATTCGGTATACAATTAGTCATTTTATACATTTCGATATAAAATGTATAAAATGCGTTTGTGTTTGTATAAAGCCAGAGAAAAGTGTATATACAAATACAAATACATATATTTTTGTCCTATACACTTATAATTATACAAATACAGATCTTGTTATACAAATTACAATGTATAAATGAATTTATACAAAACTGAACAATTTTATAAAACTGCATGTTTCTAGCGAATTATACAAATCAAAAGTTCCATAGCAAATATAAAATTTGCTATGGAGCGCAATTATGCAAGCTATAGCTATAACATACAAATATGATTTTTATGTTTGCTATATGTGAAAGTTATAACTTAAAATAAAATAAAAAAATGACTTAAAATAAGTTGAGAGGTGTTTGGCAAGGTCAAGAATGACTTAAAATAAGTTTAAAATGACTTAAATAAGTCAAAAACCAAAAGTAGGTATCCTCTTACTTTTTATTTTTTGACTTAAAAGTCATTTCAGTTTGACCTTTTATTTTTGACTTAAAAACTACTATTTTTAAGCCAATCCAAACGGGCCCTAAAAGGACTCTATAACTTAGTTTTTTTTTTTGTATGTTTTCATTTTTAGTTCATAGCGCAAAGAAAGTCATAATATATTGTATCAAATTTATCATTGACTATATGTTAGATTAAGTTTTTGGAATAAACGAGCCAAGCACGTCCCAAAACTAGTTCTATAAAAAGAGGCTCATTCCTTCTAACTTGGTGGCATCCACAATGTAGTCCTAAGAGCTTTGAGAGTTTTGTTTAAAGGGAGAATTTGTGAGACACAAGTGGTACATTATCACTTGTGTAAGCCTCTTTTTAAGTTGAGTTAATTTTGTGAGGTTATTTGTCTCGATATTTTATATCTTTATTTATATAGTGGATTACTCATATCCTTTTGTGGATTAGGTCAATTGACTGAACCTCGTTAAATATTTATGTCTCTTTTGACATATTTCTCATTTATCTTCTTACTCATGGTCTTCCTGGTTTTCTTTGTTAGCTTCCGCATGATACTTCGTTATTTTGGTCATAATTAGAAGAAAAACATCACTCATTATCTATAAATAGGAAACTTAGGAGAATTATTCAATGCTCATTAGTATTTTTCTTTGAAAGACATTAGCACATAACAATGGTTTTTGAGAGAACTTTCACCAAGAGAGAAGAGAGAAGATAATGGTTTCTTTTGCTGCATAGAAAGCTTTGAATCAATTTCAAATGGTCATACAACAGACAAAATCGTCATATAGAACACGACTCTCTGCAGATACATTATTATCTTACTCATACAGTGTTGGATTAGACAATCTTGGAATAGGTATAGCCACCAGAGGCATTTTCTTCTTCAAAGCAATGCCAAACTTCTCTGTAAGGTCTAATGTCTCTCCTTCGAGCAATTTCCAATCGAAAGAATGAATGAGCGAAGCCAATGAATACATGAACATCCTCTCTGCCATGGCTATCCCCGCACACATTCTTCTACCAGAACCAAATGGGAAATAGTTCAAATCATTTCCACTATAATCCCATTTATTGTCCAAAAATCTCTCTGGACGGAACTCTGTTGGATTTTTCCAAATAGAAGCATCTCTCTGTATAGCCCAAACGTTTATGAAAACACAAGATCCTTTAGGAACAACGTATCCTACCACAGTACATGTTTCACTAGGACAATGTGGCGCCAATAGTAGAATAGCTGGATGTATGCGCAAGACTTCTTTCATCACCGCATAAAGATATGGTAATTGCTGTATATGAGACTCTTCCACAATATTATCTTTTCCCACCACTATATCTAGTTCTAGTTGTAGTTTTCTCAGGACATCGGGTTTGTGCATAATTTCAGCAATGGCAAACTCAACTGTGTTGGCGGTTGAGCCAGTTCTACCGACAACCATATCCTGTCCATAGTATTTGTGAAGTTATTATCATGTACAACAATCGTTTAGTCTTAATTCACAGTTAAGTTTTCACATATTATCTGATGCTAAATTCGCAGACTCTTTCCTTAAGTTAGTCCAATAACATGGTATCAACTAACATTTCAGAACATGAATATATGAATCTAATATTTATTACACATCTTCCACAATAATTCTTCAATACATTTATGATCATAATTTTAACTTTTATTAAAATTCGATCCTCTTATTATGTCTAATATCACACAGCCAACAGCCCAGGACATGAATTACGAATCTGATTCTTCTGAAATTTATTTCCCATATGCCACAATGATTTTGATCCTTATAATATAAAAAAGAAAATATCTGCCAAATGCAATCTTGGCTACTCAATAATAATGCAGTGATAACTGGGGAGAGGAAGATTTCTTTTTGGTTCATTTGAAGATAAAAAAACGAATTTCGTAGAATGCACAACTGATAAACATACCATAAGTAAGGCTTTGAGTTCAATCATGGTGAGAGGCATTTTGGCATATGTTTCATCTTTCAACTTGAGCAAAACTTGCAAAAAGTCTTTGTTTTCTTGGCCAACACCATTTCTATCCAATTTTTGTCTTTGATCAATCATGTTATCAAATCTCTTTACCAACACCTTCATCTTCTTTACAACACCCTGGAAATCAAACCAAGCCAAGCCCGGGTAAAAATCGGAAAGATTAGGAATACTAACCAGCTCAGCCATCTCAGTCACAACATGCCTAAACTCAGCTCCAACACTAGCTCTTTCTTCACCCTTCACTGTGCCATCCCATAACATGCTTGTAATCACATTAAGCACAGTTAAGAACATCTGTTCACCAACGTTCACGGGTAAACCCTTCTGACTATACAAGTAATTGATCGATTGTCTAAGCTCCCTTCTCCTTAGTGAATAAACAGAATCTAAAGCAGAACAATTAAGCATATCGCGAACACAAACCTTCCTCAACATTCTCCATTTCGGTCCATAAGGATTCCAAAGTATATCATTGCCACCATATGAATTTTCTCTTCCAGCAGCAGGGACATCTCTGTTAGCAAAAATGATATCTTTATCCTTAAGAACCTCACAAGCTAATGCAGGCGAAGTAATAATAATCCCAAGTTTTTTACCAAGCCAGAGTCTACAAATGGGGCCATAAGTTTGGGACAGAGATGCAAAATAGGTATGAAGTTCAGGATTGAGAGTATGTAGATTACCTATCAAAGGCAAAGCTTTAGTCCCCGGTGGCAATCCCTTGTTTGAGTTACTAATGAAACACCAAACGAACCATAGTAAAGATAAAAAACCAAGAAAACAGGAGAAAAATTGCTCAACATTGAGTTCTTGTAGGGGCCATGTGAAAGAATCAAAAAGGGGTTTGAAGAATTTGAGAGACATCTGAATCTTTTGCACTGCTAAAAATATATATATTTTTTTAATTTTGCTGAAAGAATGATATAGCTTAGATGAATATAAAAAGAGGAAAATTTTTACAAGGGCAGAGGCCCAACCAACAATAGTTGTGTGAGACTCCATTCTTCTTTTGACACTCGGATGGTGGATCCATTTTTTTACTTTTTTACTATTCTTCTTCCACTCACTCCTCTTTTCTTACATTTTTTAAAAATTCTTTTTACAGGTCCTAATAAATATCCAACTCCCAACTATATAAGTAAACAATTGATATAATTAATAAAAATACTAATAAATATTTTTTGTCAAATGAAAACGTTCTCATGACTGAATAATAAAAATAATCTTATTATTCAATATTGTTAATAGTATAAAAATTAACTAAAAAAAAATACCAGTTTCTTAATTATTAGCGTTTTTCAAAAATTAAATTAATTCAAATTTATTATTTGATAGCTCGTTTATATAATGACTGCACATATATGAACTAAAGTCTAAGACAAAACAAAAAGAAGAGTGAGTGGAAGAAGAATAGTAAAAAAGTAAAAAAATGGGTCCACCATCCAAGTGTCAAAAGAAGAATGGAGCCCCACACAACTATTGTTGGTTGGATCTCTACCATTGTAAATTTTTTCTAAAAAGAGCAGTACGATGAAAACGAAGCAGAGTCACCTTCTGAATCTTGTGATATTAATTGAAACGGAAAAAGTAGTTTGTTTGGTAGTATAAGAAATGTAGAAAGGAACAAAGTTTGTTTGGCATGTTGTTCATCATTCAATTTTCAGCAAAAAAAAATTGTTTATTTCATTGGATTCATCTTCATCTTCTTTACTGACCAAGAAAAACCCAATAGTTAACACATTTATGTAAACATAATTTTACCTTATTTGTGTAGTATAATATTGATAAGAGTCGAGTTACTTGAATAAATAAGAAAAATAATGTAGAGGTGAAATTATGAAGATTAAAAATAGAAATTGAAAGATATGTGAAATTCGAGAATAAAATTTCAAGAGAAATGCTAAGAATTATAATTGATCTTAGAGTGTGTTTGGTATGAAGAAAAATGTTTTGCTAGAAATTATTTTCTTGAAAAACAAGTGGATTTTTAACTTATTTTCTCCTATTTGGTTGGTGAGTAGATTTTTTAATGTTTGGTTGGTAAATGAAAAATATTTTCCAGAAAATATCTTTTATTTTTGGTTGAAAATACTCTTTAGGAAAATAATTTTTAATCCAAAAATCAACCCCATTAATTGATCTAGAACCCGAACTTGGCACCCAAACTTGGACAAGACCTCGATGGCCGTTCCAAAATCTGACCTTGAGATTTGACCTAGAAAAATATTATTTTTTTTAAAATTTAAAATTTAAAATATTTTTTGATTTTTTTAGGGGGTGGCCTAAGTAGGGGGTGACAGGGGTGGGGGTGTAGGGATGGGGGTGGTGTAAAAAATGATTTTTTTTTTAAATCTGAAATATTTTCCAAAAGTTATTTTTTTCTTATAAAAAAATTGACGGGGAAGACTTGGGGGGCTGGGGGTTGGTTTGGGATATGGGTAAAAATATATTTAAAATTTAAAAAAATAAGAAATTTAATTTTTATTTATTTATTTTTGGATGGGAGGGTGGGGTACGGGGTACCGGGGTAGGGTAAGAAAAAAAATATTGAAAGATGAGTTTTCGAAAAATATTTTCCTAGAGTTTTGAAAGGAAGTCATTTTCCTTAAATTTGAGGAAAATGAGTTGATTTGAAAAACATTTAAGCCAATCAAACATGGAAAAATTAGAAAACATTTTCGTACCAACACACCCATAATCCAATGAATTTGCAGCTAGGGAATCCACTCCTAGATATTGAAATAAGTGTAAAATCTGCTGAATATCTATGGGTACACGGTGTCATTTCTGATGAACTGCTCGATAGACATTATACCAATGTTGTCAAATATTCAAAAACAGCATATCCTAATTCTGCTTTTCAGGTTAGTTTATTAGTACTAAAAATGAAGTTATTAGTATAAGGTATTTTTTTGGTTTTGTTCAAAGGGAAAAAAGACTCAAATATACCATTGGACTTTGAGAAAAGGCTCATTTATGACATTTGCTAAAAGTTTGGCTCAGCTATGTCATTGCCGTTTGAGAAATGTCATTATCTTGTTTTACAAAACTATTTTTATGTGTGGCCAGTTATAATTAGGCCATGTTATTAATTTTTTTTTAAAAAAAACTAATTCTAAAATCATTTGTGGAGTTAAAAAAATCCACCCGTTTTAAAAAAAACATTCCAAAAATAAAATGAAAATCAGTCCCAAAATTTTAATAATTAATCTACCAAAAGAGGCTTCACTAAAATGGACATATCTTTTTACTCTGAACTCTAAATGAAGCAAACTTGGTGGGCTTAGAAAAAGGACTCAAAGTTCTTTAATTTGATAAGTCATGGACCACCTAATTCTTTATGTGCTGAGAGATATGATTGTTTGAAGCTGACTTAAGTAGAATCTTAAGTCAAAACTTAATTGGTAAGGAAGCTTTCAACTCAACTTTGTGCTAGGAGATTTTGGTGACCTTAATTGATATCCAGAATCATTCTCACACTAGTGAATTGACCTTAGAATCTAAGAACAATTAAAAATCACTCAGTACGACCTTATACGCAATTCAAAAATGGTTTGGGTCCTAACTTAGAAATTTTCGAAGTGTTACAGAAATATTAAGAAGAATATTTTTATTCTAAGAACTTAAGTACTTCTAGAATCACCAACATATATAAACTTTTCTTCTTCTCCAATTTGAGTGTAGAACATAAAATGTTTTTAGTAACAACACCAAAGTCTAACACCCAATTTCTCACTTTCACATATTAACCACACGATTCGCTCGAGAAATGAGCACAACAATTTTATCATCCGCTTAATAACAAATTTATTTTTACTTGGCGGTATTCTCATTGCTCCAAAATCTACATCAACATTAAGGGGTATATTGACAGTTTGCCACACACAAATATATTAAAATCATAGACATAAAGTATTGTCACATACCTTTTTTAACCGAACACCAATGACAACTTTTGTACTTCTTAATCACCAAAATTTATCAAGCATCAAAACAGAAGCTATATTTTGACCCAAGAGAATATTAAATTATAAGATGATTAGAAAGATATTAACACTCATCTAATATAATGAATATAGATAATAATATGAATATTTCTTTTTGAGATACTAGAATTATTTTTCCAACAATACATAAACGTGTCATTTAACTTGACTTCAATATACATTTATGTCATCGAACTTTGAATGTGCACAAGTAGACACTTAACCTTGTATAAAATTGAACAAATAGACACATCCGTAACATAAAACTCACGAAGTAAACAAGTAAAAGGAACAATTTTGAATAATTTGCAAACCATAAAGGGCAATTTTGGATCTTTGTCCTATTTATTTGTTCTTTTAAATTTTTTGTAACAGTTCCCTTAGCTTATAAGCTGTAAAATAAGAGCAAATGTGTGCCAATTTTATAACGATAAGATGTAAGAGCATAGTTAGCCTAGATTTTTGAACGTATAGCAAAATTAGACCATTGCGCAAACCACAATATATTGAAACACATTTCTTTGAAGTAGGTGAGGATTTAATCTTCTTGGTAGTAGTGTTTCATATTTAAAGATTGATGTAATATTTTAATCCTCATGGCCTACTTCCCAATCAATTAATTATAGTAATTTAATGTTAATGTACAATTATTGTACTTCAACTTGTTGACACTTGACACACTCAAATTCACTTCTTTTTTTTCCATCTGAAAATGGTTCCAATATGGTTGTGTATCTTCACTATCTTTTCTTCTTTCTTGTTCTACAAAACAAGTTGTGAGCTCATAACTTCTCTTCCTGGACAACCTCCAAATATAATCTTCAAACAATACTCTGGTTATATTATTACAAATTCTCAACATGGTAGATCTCTCTTTTATTATTTTGTCGAAGCGGATTCAGAAAATGCAACATCACTTCCCCTTACTCTCTGGCTCAATGGAGGTACATTTCTCCTATGTTGCTCAGACTCTTCAAAAATATTGATATGTGTGTGTCGGATCTGACACAGATACAACAATATATTTGGAGAGTCCGAGCTATATAATATTATATACCACTTCTCTATTGACCTTGATTTTCATTTGATATTGATTGAATCCATTATGTTAGGCCCTGGTTGTTCATCTGTGGGGTTTGGTGCTTTTATGGAACATGGTCCTTTTCAGCCAGGGAAAGATGGGAGACTAATCAAAAACAAGTATTCTTGGAATTTAGGTAATGTTTTTTTTTTTTTTAGAGTAGAAAGTTAGTAGGTAGTTGAGCGTTGTCTCATTTCCTACCAGGATAGATTGGTGCATTATATCTGTTTCTCGATTCTTATTTATTTACCAGTAGTAGTAGCATTTGTCTTATAGTTGGCCTATCTTACGACTTTTGTTATACCTCATTATTTATTTATTGTGCTTCAGTTATCACATTAGTTGGTTATGGTTGTTGCCCCTCTTTGGTATGTTAGATTATGATCTCCTTATTATATTCTATGTCCTCTTTACTTCTGTATTGTTCTGTTAGCTGCTCTGATGTTCGTTATTTGAGCTGAGAGTCTTCCGGAAACAACCTCTCTACCTCCTTTAAGTAGTGGTAAAGTCTACGTACTCTCTACCCTCCCCAGACCACGCTTTGGGGACTATACTAGGATTGTTGTTGTTGTTATCTTGAATGATCATGTTGAAAAGATTTCATAACCCTGATAATCGGATAACAATGACTGATTTCGATTGCTATAACACGAAACAGAATCGAACATGTTATACGTTGAGTCCCCGATTGGAGTAGGATTTTCATACTCGAATACAAGCTCAGACTACACCAATTGGGATGATGTTGCAACAGGTACACCACTTTTCCAGAAATAGCTAATAATATTTGGTACTAA